GATGCCTAACCTTCAACCTGGTGTTGTAGCCACAGTATTTATATTGCTAGTCCTGTTCAGTTTCAGGTCAATGGTAGCCCCCTCAGAATGTTGATAGTGAGGGATTCAATGATGGTAATACCATTGAATGTCAAAGGACAAATGGTTAGATTTTCTCTTATTTGGGATAGTCATTGTCTGGCATTGATATGGCACAGATGTTACTGCCACTTTTCAGCCTAAACTGGATACCATTGAGGATTTTCTGCAATAGGACAGTTGGAGGGAAAGTCAATGATGAAGCAGCTGAAGATCATTGGGCCTAGAACACTACCCTGAGGAACTCCCACAGAGATGTCATGAAGTTTAAGAAAACTGACAGCCACAATGATCTTCCTTTGTGCCATGTATGACTCCAACCAGCAAAGAGTTTCCCTCAATTCCTATGGACTGCATTTGCTAGAGCTTTTTGATTCCTCATTTGGTCAAAATGGCCTTGTTATCAAAGGCAGCCACCCTACCTTCATCTCTGGAATTCAACTCTTTCGTCCATGTTTGAACCTAGGCTGCAATGAGGTCAAGGGCTGAGTGGCCCTGGCATCAGTGAGCAGGTTATTGCTGAGCATGTGCTGCTTGAAAGCACTGTTGATGACACCTTCTATCACTTTACCGATGATAGGAGTAGACTGATGTGATGGTAATTGGACACATTGGATTTGTCCTACTTTTTGTGTACAGAACATACCTGGACAATTTTCCACATTGTCGGGTAGATGCCTATGTTGCATGGAACAGCTTTGCTAGGGTTGTAGCAAGTTGTGGAACACAAATCTTAAATAATATTGCTCTAAAGTTATCAGAGCCCACAGCCTTTGCAGTATCCAGTGACTCCAACCATTTCTTGATATCATATGGAATGAATTGGATTGGCAGAAGACTGTTTTCTGTGAGGAACTTATTGAAACAGTGTATCTGTCTGCAGTTTGAGATGCACGTCTTCACCCTCTTCCTTTTATTTAAATTATTCTGCTCACTTTTGACCTTTCAAAGACTTACATATTTATATAGCCTGTTGAAATAATTTAGATTGTTTTATTGCATTAAAGAAGTGGAGGCGATGGCCTAGTGGTATCATCGCTGGACTGTTAATCCAGAGACACAGATAATGTTCTGGGGATCTGGGTTCAAATCCCACCATGGCAGATGGTGGAATCTGAATTCAATAAGTATCTGAAATTAAGAGTATAATGATGACCATGAATCCATTGTTGATTATCGGGGAAAAACCCATTTGGTTCACTCATGCCCTTTAGGGAAGGAAATCTGCCATCCTCACCTGGTCTGGCCTACCCTACATGTGACTCCAGACCCACAGCAATGTGGTTGACTCTTAACTACCCTCTGGGCAATTAGGGATGGGCAATAAATGCAGCCTAGCCAGTGATACCCTCATCCCGTGAATGAATAAATGAAATGAATACAAATGTCAAGTCGCTATAGTCCTAGCAAACATAGGGCTGCTCTCTCATTAGAGATAACTGGTGGTAGTTTAACCTGAGGATCACCACATCTCGGGTGAGGGGAAGAGGTTGTGAAGGAGAGTCCTTCATGGTAACCTTTTGAACCCACGCAGCTGGCATTACTCTGCAGTGCAAACCAGCTGCCCATCCAACTGAGCTAACTGACTCACATAAATCAATATACATATTAGACAATGACCAAAAATTTGATAAACAGTAGGTTTTAAGGAGTAACTTAAAGGAGGAAAGGGAGGTCGGGAGAAGGAAATATTTATGAAGGTGGCCATTGCAGCAAGCATGATTCAAATTGAGGAGACCCAAGAGGACATAATTGAAGCAGCATAGATATTTCAAAGCATTGTGTGGCTGAAGAAGATTACAGAGACAGAAAGAGAGAGATCATGGAGGGATTTGAAAACAAGAATGTGAATTTTAAAATCAAATTATTACTTCACTGGGACCCATGTATGTCAGTGAACACATGAGTAGTGGGTGATGGGTAATTTGTGGGAATTAGAAATGGGTAGCATAAATTTGGATGCGGGTACAATGTAGGAGGCCAGTTAGAATACTTAGTTATTCCAATGTGCCACAAAGGGTTCTAGCAGGAACCAGGTTAAACCAAGGATACAGGCATATTATGGAAGTTGAATTTAGCCATTCTGGTGATGCTGTGAAGGTGTGGTCAGAAGATGGTCTTGAGATCATATTGTGACCATTGTTTAAGCTTTGGACAGTTTGCAGGTAGAGGCATGGACCTGGTGGCTAGGGAACAGAGTTTGTCAAGGAGATTAAAGACAGAAAGCATTATTTTACTGGAGGAGATTTCTGCTCATTACAGGATGTTGGACAGGCCTTCTGACAATTTAGTGACTGAGAAGTGAGGTAGAGATGTGTCTCATACATGTGAAATTTGATGCTGTGTTTTTGGTTGATGTCACCAAAGAGCAGTAAGTAAAGGAGAAGTAGAAATGGGATTAAAGATAAATCCTTAAGTGGGAGCAGGCTGTAGATGGTGAGATAATGGTGCAGAAGCAGGAATTGAAGCCATTTCGGGTGATTCTCTGGCAATGATTAGATAAATTCATAATGGTGTAATTCCAGCAGATGTGATTTTCTATTCATCTGATAATGTTACTGAATGATTACAGTAGTTCGAATAAAAGTGAAGGAAAATTATAAGTATCAGATTAAAATATATCTCACTTGCTTTTTTAAAACATCTGTTTCAGGCACATAATTGGAGGTTAGATGATAAAATTAACTTAGTTTAGCCATTTTGGATTTATTTTACTATGTTATTTGTGTCAGGTGTCCTAAAGGTATAAAGTTTTTTTATCCTATAAATTATTGATTTCCAGATTTGCTATAGGTTACAAAGCTAGGTTATTTTTATTTCAAATTTGTTCACTTTATTTATTCCTTAATAAAATTTTACATCCATCCACCAGAAAGTATTGATACATCAACCCAAACTAAAATACATGTTTTCTCTACAACAGTTCTTTACTTCATTGGTAGCTACCAGTTTGATCTTAAAGTCTCTTGTTATCACCAGTCTGTCTGTTCTAACCTCCCTCTGTTCCTAAGAATTTAAAACTGTTGTTATTTTCATTGCAAATAAGCTAGTTATTTTGGGTCAAGTTTGTAAATGCAGTAAACTCTTCCAAGCAAGTTTTATTTTGAAATAAAAGAAGTTTTGGTTCTGTGCAGAATAAGCCTAACTGTATTCAATGCTATGAAACATATGCTTTATGAAATTTCCTAGTTTGTCTCAAAACTTAATTATCTACTTTAAAATAGAATTGCTGTCCTTTAGCTAGAGAATGTGGTATCCATTATGTACATAAAAACTGGCCCCCAAAATTTCATGATGTGAATTATTATTATTATCATTATTATTACTGCAGTGGTGTTGAGTTTGGAAGGAATTTTAACTAGGAACGTTCTCTGTTGCTCTTGAGTAATGCATCAGGAATCTCACATCTACCTGAATAGTTGGACAGTGCTCTTTGTTTAATAACTCATCCATGAATGAAACCCTTAACATATTCAGCACTGCATCTATGCATCAAGATACTTGTATTCTTCAAGCCGTATTCTAACGCAATGAAGTTTACTTACGTTTGCTGTGATCAGAAGTCTAGTGCTACTCTTCTGTCTAGTACCAGCATGAACAGCATATTAGCAAAAGGACAATTCCCTGGAAATTGCTTTATAAGTGCTTCATTTGTAGGCTGCTTGTTCCTCCCGTACTGAAACACCACAAACCTTTTAAAACATATTAACCACTTTAATGTGAATGTTAACTTCATTTCAACTGTTTTATAGTTAAGGGCATTTTGATGAATGACATTTTTAGTAAAAGTGAAATAATTTTGTAGCTGTAGTGCTTGAGCTACTTAAAAATTTATGGGACTGGATTTTATACTTCCCACTATTGTGTTTGGAGGGGAGTTTGATGAAATACAGCATGTGGCCTGCCCACCACCATTCCGCCAATCCCAGAACAGTCTTCCATTGTAGAGGGGATGGAGGAGCAATGAACAGCCAGCCTGACCTGGGGCCTATTGAGACTCAAAAATTCCAGCCTTCCCTATTTTAGTCCTGGCAGAGGTAGGCCCAGGCCAAATAATAGCCCAGAGATAGTAGGAACTGCAGATGCTGGAGAATCTGAGATAACAAGGTGTAGAGCTGGATGAACACAGCAGGCCAAGAAGCATCAGAGCCAGGCTCCTCTGATGCTGCTTGGCCTGCTGTGTTCAAATAATAGCCGAGCAGCTTTTACTGAATGGGCTGGTGTCAGGCAAGGGAGAGGATCACCTTTGTGAGTCTCCTGTGACAATACCCTATTTAATCCTTCCAAACTTAGCCCTCACCTGGCCTCACTGGACTTGCCACCCAAGACCCGATGACACACAAAACTTCACTAGTCTGGCCTCTACAATCTCCTCTGTTTTGGCACTGCGGACACTACTGAGTTGCTGGTCTATCTCAAGGTTTGGACTTACACTCCAAATGAGAGTGGAAGCTCACTGTGAGCCAATTAATGCCCTATGGAACATAAAATAGCTGCAGGGCAGCTGGCTTTTTTGTGGGTACACTTCTGACCAACTCTGTTATGGGGGAGACAGGGAACAAGGCATCTTGTAAAATTCTGCCCTATGGTTTTGAAATGGATTTATATTTTTAAACATTAATGTTAATGATATTAAAGATATTCTCAAAACTGTTGCATGATCAAGTCATAGTTTCTATATGTTTGTGATGCGCTTTACCATCATGTACTCTATTTGTTCCATGCACAGATAATAGTACTCTACTTGCAGCTCACTTGGTCATGTTATTTGGTTTCTCCATACAAAATGTTTATTAGTTAAAGCGTACTGGTTTTGATTGTTGCAGGACACAAATGGATCAATATTTTGCTATTTTTCTGTACTGATTTTAAAACTAGTTTTTCTTCTGTAATGTCTAAAGAGAGACTGCTTTCCCTTTTAGGACACACAGCCATTTGCCAATGCCCATGAAATACTGTCCCGTTCTCGGTCACGAACCAACATGTTGAACAAAGTTGAATATGCACAGCAGCGCTGGAAGAGACAAGTTCAAGAACAGAGGAAATCAGTTTTCGATCGCCATGTTGTCCTCAGCTAAAAACACTCTCAAGTACATAGAGGAATACAGGAAGTGATAAATCAGTGGACCTATAGAAATAATCTGTATGACAATCGTTATGGCCCTAACTGCTTGTTGTATTCGTTTTATACCTTAATTCTTCTTACCCTTGGTTCTTTGAGGAAATAATATAGAATAATAATCATGTTAATAGTTTGATATTCTTTCTATATCATGGTTTATTTTAATACATTTTCACCCTAAATTATCATATAGTTGTGGAAACAAAACCACAACATAACAAGTGATGGTAAACTATTAATAAAATAGAGCTAGAAGTTAATTTTTTTCCTGGATGCTTTAATTATGGGGCAGTTACAGAACAATAACATGGGATATTAACAAAAGACTAAGACTTGCTGCTTTTGATATAAATCACAGAATTATTGTTAACAAAATTTGTTCTTTGTGGCATTCTTCCTGCCCAAGTTTTTTTTTGCCCCCCCAACATCCCTTTGATTTTTGTTTTTAATCAACATTTTTTATTTAAGTCATGAATCCTAAAGATAGCAATTGTACAATAATTGATAATTCATCAAACTTATAATAGTTCCTCCCTCTGACCAGAAATTGTTTGCAATTTATTAGAAATAGAGGAAAAGAAATTAAAATACAAAACTTACAACTTCACCAATTAAAAATAATTTGGTTTAGTCATTGTTCTAGCCCTAAACATTATAGAAATAGCCTAATTTTGAATTTTTTTTTAAAAAAATGGTGCTAGAATATGATACACCTTTACAGCAGTTTTTACATCAGTTTTTTTTCTCTATTGTACAGTTAGTTAATGGATTTTGCAATTCATTAGTAGTCTTAGTTTATTATCCCCAATTTTCATTTCATTTACCTTCTCTTGTGAATGCAGTAGCAGTCACTTGGAGACATAGTTCCATTAGTGCGACGTACTCCTTTCCTGTTAAGTTGTTCAAGCCTTGACCAAGACATTGGTAACTAATTTCACTGTAGAAAATACCATAACCATTCCCAAACTTGTCTACAACTAACATCCATGTGCATTTTCTAGTGGACCTCATTGGATGCTAATAATAAGCAGGCTGTTTTGCCTAATGCATCGCCCAACTAATGGGAATGAAACCTGATGTTGTGTCCCATCCCCTCACCCCACCCTTACAGCTAATTCGAAACGATCAAGAGATTGAATACAGTCATTCTGGTTGGTATCATTCAGTAAAGTGACATAGAGTATATTCACCCAAGACAAATTCTGGCCTTAATGTATAATTAAATGCTAACACATAAGAGGTCAGTGTTTTTATTCTTTTATATTATCATTTTAAGCACTGCTGTGTACATCGCTGAAATATGTTTTGCTCTTCACAGCTGGTGGCTAGGCTAGTAGGTTTCTGTCCATACTGTTTTGTAAGCACTGCCAAAAGATAGAAGTAACTAAAGTTATTTTGCCACTTCCTTTTTCTATAGAAAGGAGCATTCACAAGCAATAGCAGAACTGAAATTAACTTGCCAAGTGAAGAGAAATAAGCAAAATGGCCAGCTAATCCATGTATAACATTAGTCATTGAGTGCTGCATCATTACTTCACCAGGTTCATTTTACCTGTTCAGTGAATGCCATGCAAAGTTGAGAGAAAATAGTTATCTGATAAAAAGCATGTTATTTTAAGCTGGTAAACAAAGTTCTATATTGTATTCTGTTGAGACACTAAATTGCTGATATATTTAACTAGGGATTAAATTTGATCATGCCATAAGAAGATTTACAAGAAATGCTATGGAATGATAAGCCAACAGCTACTGTAAACATTTAAATAATATGTTCCACATAGATAATAACTAAAGAATGGAATTGTATAGAATTTACATGTGCATTCAGTATTTAAATTGAACAGACTAGATAATACTAGTCCCTTAATTTAGGCTGTATTTCTCCCTCCCAATGATACCAATGTATAAGTTCTGGGACCTTTTTATAAGCTGTAATTAATATATTAAAAAAACTGAGTTTTAAAATTCTGACTTTTTTAATTCATTTGTAATGGCAAATATACATTTGTGCAAAACACCCAGGTAAGTGGAAAAAAACAAACCTACAAAGAGTTTATGTCCATGATTTATAGAATATGTTATTGTATTGAACAAATAAGTAAGCACAGATACAAGTATTGTTCTCGTTAATATTTTTAATTTCCTAGTCCAGAGTAGCTATCATTTTTATTTTTCTTTTTGTTAATACAGGAGTTTTAACACAGAACCTAATGCTTGGCAGTCCACTGTAACAGAGGATCTAGCAACTACTGAAACAACTGTCCAAGTATAAACTGATATCTTTCACTAAAGGATGTCATTTGCATTAGTGAGTAATGTATAGCAAAAGCTACCTAGCTTGATTAAATTCTTAGACTGTTACAAATAGAGGAGAGAGAAACTTAAATATCCAATTACCTTTCCATACTAGCAGAATTATTTTTTTTGTCAAGGTAGGTGTGTATGTTTCTAAGCCCCTGTTAGCATATGACCAATGTAAAGAACCAGCATCAGACCTTGTGTGTTTAAGATTTTCTGTTCACACACTCCCCCTGAGCCTAAATGCTATGTCAATCACTCGCGTGTGTGTGTGTGTGTGTGTGTGTACATATTTGTGAAGAAAATATAGATAAGGGTAATGGAGCATTTTTACAAGCTGTAGACAAAAGAAGTAGTTCATAGTTCACATCCATTGTAGGAAAATTGTTTTTTGTAGATTGAATGAAGAAGGAAGTCGTTCACTCTTGAATTGAAGTTTAGATGAGTTCAGATAGCTGGAATCATTTATTAGAGTTCTTACAGGATTCCCTTAAAGAGATGAATGTTCAGAAAGTCACAAAGTTAGGCACTTGTAGCTTTCATGTAAGGAAATTCACTGTCTTGACAAGTAGATTTAGATTTAGGAATCAAGCTTGGAGGTTTTTTAAAGATTTTACAGCCTGCAAATTCTTATAAGTCAAACAGGGCACTGCCTTTTGCTGCATGTACTATATTTTGATGTTTCTTCAAATTGCCTAAGCCATTTCCTGGGTCTTGAATAATAAAGCATTTTAGTATAAGAGGCCAATTTCAGTCACGTGATCATCGGTCACTGTCCACCTCAAATGGTTTAAAGATCATTGACATACAATAGGAAATGGATGGTGGCCTTTAACACTTATTTCATTAGTTATTTCATAACTAATCTCTTTGCCTACCTTTGAAAAGCATTGATCTTGAAATGAGAGGTTTGAAGAACTATTGACATTAGGTTTTGGATAAATCAGAGAGGGATCCCACAGATCTTAGTCATAAGATCTTAGTTTGATTGTTTGATTGATTTATTGTTATCATGTGTACCAAGATACGGTGTATATGAAATGTATCAGGGTAGCAGAACAGAGTGCAGAGTATGGTGTTACAGCCGCAGAGAAGGTGCAGAAAGAGAGATCAGAATTAACATTTAGGAGGTCCATTCAAAAGTGTGACAACAGCAGGAAAGAAGCTGTTCTTCAGTCTATTCATATGTGTATTCAAACTTTTATATCTTCTGCCTGCTGGAAGAAGGTGGAAGAAAGTATAACTGGGGTGGGAGGATTATGTTGGTTGCTTTCCCAAGGCAGTGGGAAGTATAGATGGACTCAATAGATGGAAGGCTGGCTAATCGTAGTATATCAATTCAATGTGGGGGGAGGGTGCATCCAAGGTTATTCAATTAGAATTTTCTGGAAGCTTCAGATAGTCTGTTTTGAATAAATGCAGAAGATCACTTGATGCTTGGCAGCCATCTTGAATATACATTTTAAAATGTAAAATTCCATAGGAACACAGTCCATGTTTGAAGTTATGACTAGGACACACCTTCACTGGGCATAACAGGACTACAGTACCTCATTAAATCATAAAACTGTTAACTATTTCACTGACCTATTGGCTCTCAGTACTCTTCAGTATTCCCTTTTCAAGCAACCACCCAATTCACATTTAAAAATGCTAATGGATACTACTGCACCAAAGAATTGTCAATAATTAACTGATGTTCTGCCACAATGATTTTTTACCTTTTTTTTCAACATCTTAAATTTGTGCCCTCTCATTTTCATCTTACTATCCACTGGAAACAATCTATCACTATTTACCCAATAATATTTCTCCATAACTTTAGGGGCCTCAAGCAAATCATTCTGAAACCTTGTAGTCACATAAAGCAGCTTTTAGGTTAAACAAAATTAGCATGGTATATTGGTGAGACCATGCAGACACTACAACAACAGATGACTGGACACGGTGCAACACTCACCGACAGGAATGTTCACTCCCAGTCAGGGAACACTTCAGTGGTCAAGGACATTCAGCCTCCAATCTTCGGCTAAGTGTCCCCCAAGGCAGCCTTCGAGATACACAACAATACAGAATTGCTGAGCAGAAACCGATAGCCAAGTTCTGTACCCTGGCCTCAACCGTGATCTTGGGTTCATGTTGCGCTACATGTAACCCCACCACACAGTTCTGTATCTGTAAAACCTTCCTTACTGTCCTGTTTTGACACCATCACCTTGTTATGATCTCTCTACCTTAATTAGTTTGTACAGTTTTGGATGACTTATTACTTTGGTTAGACCCTTGACATGTGACTCTTATAGCTATCATGTTATTTCCAGCCATTTTGTTTGTCTCCAGCACTACCTTATTTTTAATTTTTTGTAATTATTTCTCTGCCTCATTTAATCAGATTTTTATTCGGCTGTTGACACTTTCCTCACACCGTTTAACACCCCTGGTCATCTGCAGAGACTTATTATTCAACAGTCCACTCACACCAGTTGTATGATCTTTTGATCTCTCTGCATATAAATTCTGTGTCTGTGTGCTCCTCTCTCACCTCACCTGACAAAGGGGTTGTGCTCCAAAAGCTTGTGATTTCAAATAAATCTGTTGGACTATAACCTGGTGTTGTGTGACTTCTGACTTTGTCCACCCCTGTCCAACACCAGCACCTCCACATCAAAATTAGTAACGAGTGACTATATGCTAGGTCCTAGCACTGTCCTAATTGAACTATTGTTGTAAATAATTTGAAAGTTATCTTCCATAAATAAATTTGATGGAGTAATTTTGATTATTATACTATTTAGCAATGAGATTCTTTCAACTGCTGATGTTAAACTACTGATCCAGAAAGCAGTTCTGTGCTTCTTTCCGACAGAACAATTTTGAGTACTATTTCTAAACCAGTTCAAACAAGTATCAGCCCTCAAAATTCATGATTCATAATCTTTTCAATGAAGACGTTAACTGAGTACATAATATAGCCTGAGGGTTTGCCTTTGTCCATTTTAATTGTTTGTCTCTTCACATTTCCGTAAATATATTCCTAGTTTCAATATGATCATCCTGTATGTTTTCAAATAATAGTCCAAGTAAAGTTTATCCATTTATTAGGAATGATCTAGTTTCCTATTTAATGATAAATGAAGCAATTCCACAGGTTTGGAATTATTCTGTCTTTGTAATTTTTCCCCAGCAATTTTTTTTTAAAAAAGCATTACATTTTCAGATGTGTTATAATACTTTATATACGTTGTTCTTATTCTTTGACTGGCTGTATTTGTTTAGTATTTAACAAGATTTCCATATACCAAAGCTTCTATGTGTGAATATTCAATAAAATTGTAATAGACTCAAAGAAAGTACAACTAATTGGAAGCAAAAGAAAAATACTGCAGATTATGAAACTGTGAAATAAAAACAAAGCGCTGGAATTAATCAAGTTTCACATCATCCATGTAAAGAAACAGTAACTGTATGTTGAAACTGTGATGAAGTATTATTGAGCTGAAATGTTAACAGAATTAGTATTTCAGTATTCAAATAACATGCAGAATGATAAGAGAAGGTGCTGAGGATGCAGCAAAAACAGCAGAACTAGGAATTCAGTAACACCAAGCCAAACATCTGTGAAATAGGTTCAGAAACAGAAATTGCTGGAGAAACTCAGGAGGTCTGGCAGCATCTGTGGAGAGAGAGTTAATATTTTGAATCCAATGACCCTTCTCCAGAATAGTAATAATAACAGAAGTAAATAAGATTGTCTATTTGTGACAATTGGTAACAGAGGATGGCAGATGTAATAGAAGTTAGAGGGATAAGATAGTTGGAAGTAATTTTGTGAAGCCAAAAACGAGAACATTCAAACTTGTGACAAGGAAAATATTCATAAAATGCTACATTCTATCCTATTTTATGTGTGCCTCAGAAACCTGAACAACAAAGGTATATGGAAGAAAATAGAGCCCCTTGATATGTGGATGCTAAGACTTATGCTAAAATTTCCACATTGAGATCATAAGACAAATGAGGCTGTGTTTAAAATTGCAAGAGCTAAGCTGACTAAAATCTTACATCCAGAACAGAAAATGTCAGCATTTTGGCCATTGATTAGCTGAAAAGCAACAGAGATCTCTTCTAGAGGACAAAGTAGAAATTAGTAGAGAGAGGGATCAACCTAGGTGTAGTTGGATGATGGATGGCACAGAGTGATCACAGAAGAGCTACAATGAATGTGTGGGAATGGCACAAGACAAACAATTGTGTCATATCATGACAGCAGACCTGGCAGAAGCAGCAGCAACAACAGCAGTACATCTCACCTTAAATGATACTTAGTGAAATAAGATACCTGAGCTTTAAATTAATTCAAATAGAAGGAAGAAAATTTTCATATATATATTATGCTATTTGTGGCTTAAGGCAATCTCAAAATTCATTCATAGTCAATTAAATAGTTTTGAAATGTAATGGGTGGATAATCCTATTACTTAATTATGTTAGTTGAAAGACAGATGAGAGCTAGAGCAGCGGAAAAGTGCCCCTTCTTGGGAAAGTATCATTTTCATATGCCTTAAAGGATAAACATAGTTCTATTTAGTGTTTCGACTGAAAGGCAGCACTACTGACAGTGAGGCAATTCCTCAGTGCTACACTGGACTGCTAGTCCAGATTAGGTG